GCTACAATCCAGCTTAGTGCAGTGGTCCCCAACCATTTGGGGTTGCCGGGCCGCTCTCCCTCCCCCTCCCCCAAGCGCCGCGCGCCCGGGGCCGGCGCTAGCGCTTTCTCCCCCCCCCATGCGCCGCGGGGGGTGAATCCGCGGCGCCCCCGGGGCCAGCGCTCACAGTGCGCCACGCGCCCGGGGCCGGCTCTGGCACCGCGCATGCGCCACGTGCCCAGGGCCAGGCCAGCCCTGAGCACTTGGCGGGCGCATAGAAATGCCCCCGCGGGTGCCATGGCGCCCGCGGGCACCGTGTTGGGGACCACGGATTTAAAGAATCTCCACCTGCAAACTCACCCTGTCTGAAAGCTCCCATGGATTTTCCTCTGGCTCTCTCCAGTGCGGAGGGTAGAGTATCTGGTGGGGGAAATGATCAGAGAAGTCAGGCTTTCATAACAGCACCTCCACTCCACACTGCTAGAACTGCATTTCAATTATGACAGAGGAACAGACCAAGACACACAGAAGTGATTAATAACAGAAGATTTCTGGGTTTGTGCCATATTCTTTACTAGAAGATATAACTGGTGTTACTTGACTCCTTAACTCAATTTATTTTTCTGGGTTTTTAAATAAAATGAAAACGTCCATGGTTCATTTTAAATCATTGCCCTGGGGTGGCGCTGTGGACAAGGGGTTCTTCATGGAGACTGCCCTGGAGAGGACAATCTCAGCCCTCTCTCTCTCTGCAACAGCTTTGGGCCAAGTGAGAAGCCCCTCTCCATGGCAACTGCAGCCCCGGTGCATGTCCCCTGGCTAGGGCAGGTCCAGCTGGAGTGAGGAATGCAGCAAACTGTGCACTTTCACCTCACTCCCTGACGAGGGGGAACTGCCAGCAATGCTGTGACGTAGTGGGGGGTACTTTGCTGGTTGCTATGCTGGGCAGTGGGTTGTGAGTAACCTCCACTGGCTGCTGTCTGCAGCACTGCCCAGCAGGGCAGGGGATGAGTCATTATGCAAGGGGACTTCGAATGTGTCTGACCAGTTATCTCCCAGGGAGTGGAACAATGGGAAGAAGGGGAGTGGAGCCCTGGCTGGGGGCAGGGCTGGAAGTGAGGGTATGTCTACACTACAGCGCTAATTCAAACTAACTTAGTTCGAATTACTTAATTTGAATGAAGCTAATTCGAACTAACGCATCTAGAACTAAAAACTAGTTCGAATTAGCGTTTTGCTAATTCGAACTAGCGCGTCCACATTAAGTGGACCCTGAACCGGGCTTAAGGATGGCTAGAAGCAGTGCCAGCAGGGCAGCAGAGGAGGACTTAGAGTGTGGAGCTGCTGCCTCAGGCTAGCCGAGGGCTGTGCGCCCCGCTTGCAAAGCAGTCCTGGCTTGGATTGCCCGGAGTACCCACACTGGGCACATCACAGCACTCGGCCATCAGCCCGGCTGCACTTGCCGCAGGCTGCCATCTGGGGAGAGGGGGCAATTGGGGGGCTGCAGGAGAGCTTCCACCCCCAGAAGCCCGCAGAGCCAGCCCAGACCTCCCCATCGGGGGCTCTTACCCCATTCCTCCCTCACCTCCTTCCACTTACCCTTCCCTAGCCCCCCTTCCTGATGTACAAAATAAAGATAACGTGTCTTCCAACATTGACTCTGTCTTTATTGAACAAAACTGGGGGAGACTGGGAAAAGGAGGTGGGAGAGGGGAAGAGAGAGGCTGGGAGAGGGGAGGGCAACTACAATGATCAGGGGTTTGGAACAGGTCCCATATGTAGAAAAGAGGAGATGGAGGGGGGACAGGATAGAGGTCTCTAAAAGCATGAGTGGGGTGGAGAGGGTGCCTACAGAAAAGTTCTTCATTAGTTCCCATAAAGAAGGACTAGAGGACACCAAAGGAAAGGAATGGGTAGCAGGCTTCAAACTAGTAACAGAAAGTTGTTCTTCACAAAGCAAAGAGTCAACCTGTGGAACTCCTTGCTGCAGGAGGCTGTGAAGGCTACAACTAGAACAGAGTTTAAAGGGAAGTGAGATCAAGTCATGGAGGTTGGGTCCATGGAGTGCTATTAGCCAGGGGGTAGGAATGGTGTCCCTGCCC